AGAGTCCTTTGTCTAGGATCTCTCTTTTAGCCTTTGGGGGAACAGGCGGCATGCTTCGGCCGCCTGCGAGAAGAGGCGGATCCCTATTCCACTTGTTAAAACGTTGGTTCAGCTCCGTGTCTGAACCCTCAATGATAAGGAAGGTGTTCCGCCAATCCTTCCATTTGTTCGCCTTACCTCTCGTCATGAGGTAACCCCTATGGCTTGTTAATTGGTACCAGCCGGTACCTCCCGACTTAGGGGTCCGGCTGAGATAGTTCATGTGGGCGAAAGCCTCAAAGCTTGGCTCCACCCCGTACATTTCGCACCCGGCCACATAGCCGAGTACGTTTACCCAAGAGTTGGGGGCTAACTGCCATAACCCCAGATCATACCCATCTAAAATCCGCTGAACAGCCGGATGTAATGGGAAGCGCAGTCCAGCTTTGATGGCCGCCACATAGCAGCCAAAGCAGCCGTCACCATAGCTGGTACCAGCCGGCCAGACGACAGTGTCTTCTGGATCTGGCACGAACAGTAAAAATTCCGGGCCCATTCTGTGGTTAGCAATAAAGCTCGCCACGTTGTCTTGCATGGTTGCGATCCGGCCCCGGGGTACCATGCAGTAGTAGGGGGCGTTTTCCTCTCTGTAAGAGGCGGACGGCTCCGCCCAATTGTCCCCCTTCTCAACTGCGTGAGAAAGTCTCGCCTCTTGTAGGCGGCTATGTTTTTCTTCTGAGCCTGGAGAACTGTGGCCAGAAGAGCTGGACTCGGACTCGTCCTCTAATGAGTCCGAAGAGGACGACTCCTCCCCTCTCCCAGAGGGGCCCGCCTCCTCTCCCTTAGAAGGGGCAGGAGGAAAATTAGACATGTCAACGGTAAGATGGGAAGGGACCACCTTGGCCCCTCTCTCAGAACTGTCGGCTTGGCAGTCGCCTCGTTTCAATTCTACATCTGGCGCCTGGTCAGATGTTTCACTAAGGAGCACCCTTTGGGAGGAGCCGTCTGAGTTTGATATCATAGCAGTCTGTTTCGTTCTGGCCATCACGTTCTGCATAGACACAGATACAGTCGGACTTTGTATAAAGGGCAAAGATGGGTCCAGAAAAGGGCAGGCGGCACTCCTAGTCCTAGATTCAGCCGTCCCCGGTGACCGGCTGATCACTAACTTAGGTCGTGTCGTGTGCTTCTGTGGTGCCATTTCAAAAAATAAAAAGAAAATTAAGAGTAAGAGAACTGAGTTACCTGAACGGGTGACGGTTGATGAAGTTCTGGAAGTCCGGTGCAATCGGCTGCAATCGGCTTGTCAGAACAGGCGGTAGGCAGAAAAGGTCCGAAATGTCAGAGCAAGTTCAGGGGTCCGAATGTTCTCGCAAAGTTCTCAAATGTGAAAATGACCGAAGTCAGCACTTCCTTTTATAGGCAAAGTGAGAAGGCGAAGGGTCGCTTCCAAATTCAAGATTTGGGCGGGAAAATCTCTCGGCCGTTTGCAAGGTGACACCTGTAGCAGGCCGTCGCCTGTCACCGTGCGACACCTGTCACAGGCGACACGTGACCAGTCACGTGCCACCTGTGAGGGGCAAATGATTAGGGGATTTTTATCCACCAATCACCGTCTGACAAGTGGACCAACCAGGTTCCGCCACGTGTCCTTCACGAAGGCCAATAGGAGCCTGCCACGTGTCAGTCACAGATACGTCCTCTACGGACCAATCGAGGCACGCCACGTGTCCACCCATGCCAAATGGGAAAACCGGCCATCAAGGCCCAATCCAGTCTAGAGGCCCGGTCAGCCCTAGGTTTACCTTAAACCTAGAGAGTGGCACGCTTCTCAAGGCTATAAATACTTAATTAATCCTCATTAGTTAAAAGATCAAGAAATCAAGCAGAGAAGAACAGAAATATTACGGAACACCAACAACCGGCTAATCTCGCTAACGACGCAGATTACCAACATTAAACACTCTCACCTAGAGAGATCTTATTGATTTAATTTCCGTATTAATTACTCCTTAATCAGGTACTAACTTGACCGTTGGAGGCGGAGCTCTCAGGAGTCTCCATTATTTTGCAGGTACAGGCGTCCGGTTCCAGTCTCGGAATTGTAACTCTCCCGCAGGACATCAGAAAACCCCGAAACATGTACCATTGATCAAATATATAGAGATTACAACACTAGAATAAGGAATCCTAGATACGATAAACATACAAAATATACATTAAATATATCCTAAACTGTGACAAATATTATCCTAAATATAATATCTATCAGTGCAATTTAGAGGAAAGCAAAAGAGCCAAACAGTTGAGTTTGTTAAACATACTCCACGTACAATATTTTCATGGGTCGGTGATTTTTAATTTTTGTTGTCATTTTTTTTTTTTTTTGAGAAGTAATTTTTGTTGTCATAGTATAGCGCATATTAAGGTAATGGGGTTTCCAATTGCAATTATGAATCATAATATTTTGACTTGCTATGTTGCAAACAACCTCTAGTCCTCCAAATGTCAACACGAGTTACCAACTAGCTACTTAATTGATTGAAATCTTAAAAAGTGGTGAATATATATTAAATCCTGTTTGTCACGTAATTTGTGGTTTCTTATACACCAATTTTAAAAATAACTCAAATTAGTCATCGAACAAAATAAATTCACATATTCATACTCTAATTAAAGACTTGAACTTAGCTACTTTGTATAAAGTGTAGAACAGTCGTTTCTCTCGTATACAAGGGTAATAAAAAAATAAAAAAAAAAGAGAGGCGACAAATGAATTAGCGATGAATCCTACTACAGTGTTATACTACTATCTATATATTTCCCGATATAATTTGATCTCATATTTCTAACACTTTGTTATACTACTATGATACTATCAGTGTTATACACTTATACTACTATTTGTTCATGACTTTTGTGTCTAGCTTAATGCTATGAGTTGCTTCACAGCTCAGCTAGCATTAAAATTCAAGTGGTTAGAGTGTAAGACTAATAATGTGAACGAATTGAAAATTAATAATTAATCAATCAATTTATCAGTAAACATTGAGAGTGACAGATGAATAAATTTTTTTCATAACAGGATGCAATGAATTGTACGAAATTACGAAGTACTCAATCCATACATCTAGTGGGCTTATAATAGATTTTATTGTCTTCGGTTGTTCATTTGGGCTAATGAGACAAATTGGTTATGGAACTCACCTCATTTTTTTTTTTATTTTTTTTTTATTGTGGACATATTTGACATTGTTTTTTCATTACTTTGACAAATTTTCCTTCAATATCATACGAGTATAAAGTACGTTCTAATAAGGGTCTGTTCATTTCAACTTAATTTCATATCAGTTCAGTTCAGCTCCTAATTTCCTTCTCTCATAAAATATTCATTTCATCTCTGTTCAGTTTTGTTCAGTTCGGCTCCTAATTTCCTTCTTTCATAAAATATTCATTTCAGCTCTATTCAGTTCAGTTCAACTCCAATTAGTTCAGCTCAGCTCAGTTCAGTAAATGTGAACAGGTCTTATTCTATTGGATTTATCCTAATGTTCCCAATTTCAGTTCCCACAAATGCTAGGACAGAATTCGTAGATTTGGGAATTGTTTAGGTTGATTCTGATATGGTTCAAAATTTTGAAATCGGTTCCGGATTCAGTTTCATTAAATATGGCCGGCTACCCGAATTTTGCTCATTCCTAATTGTAGTAGTAACTTGCGTCAGTGGTTAGGCATCACTCCCGGCCACTAGTCCCCTATACTCATTACTCCTTCCCTTTTAGTCATTGCAAAGTCAAATTCGCACATTTCATTCATTACATCAAATTAGGTTTGTCCTTTCTAATTATTGATCTTCTTATGTCTTGTTATACTTTGCTCATGCGACATGCATATTAAATTTGTGGTCCATATAGTACGAGAATTGATAATTGTAGTACTTTGACATGCGACAAAAATGATATGAAAGAGAAGACTTTTTTGTATCAGTGTAATAGATCAATCATAAATGTCTGATTGGTTAAATAAGCGAGTAATAATATATTTTAAACTGAAGAAATGCTATGGAGTACGTAATTAAAATTACATTCGAGGACAACTATTTTCATCTTAGATTGTACTTGTATTAAAAAAATTTAACTCGGTGCACTATAGTTTTTACTAGTGAGAAATTAATTTAGACAAAAATTAGAATGAATATGTAAAGGGAATGCTTAATAGGTATTGAAAAATGAATAGCATTTAAATCACAATTTGAATTATTTATAATTTGATAAATCTCAAATTGAAAACAGTGTTTAATTTTCAAAGGTAATTGAAGATTTTCAAGCTATAACAATCCTCCAACTAGAGACACGTGGATAATCAAGTGAAATCTTAGTGTGAACATAAAACATAAACAAGTCATCTAAAGTCACTACAATCGAATTATTTAATTTATATATTGATATTGTACGAAGTATTTCTTTATATACGAAAGACTCATAGCAGTGAAGCTGCATCTCGATCGATTTCGAGAGATGTTGGGAATTTGGGATCAATTCTCATTACCTATCCTTGTTGCTTTCTAAATACCAAAAAAAAAAAAAAAGAATATACGAAATACGTACACTAAAGGGAAGGACAACCCAAGTGAGCAACTAAATTGTTTTGAAAACACATGACAATATCATGTGTTCATTAATGTGATTTATGTTTTCCTTGAATTAAGAGTAATACTTTCAATGGTAACTTGTTTCATCTTTCATGTGCCATTAATTCATTTATATTAGTAATTCAAATAATAAATCAATAAAAGATTGGACTAGATTACTTCATTCACATACTTTCCTTTAATAATATTGACCAAAAAAAATCCTACTTTTTTTAGATTTCACCTCACAATTGTCCATTTCCTTTGTTCATCCCTCCCTATATATAACAAATCAACCCCTTAACCACCTCTCACACTTCATCAAAAAAATACAAGTAAAAAGAAAACTTCCATTATTTCTCAAGTTGTCTCACCTAAAATCTAGAGAAAAATGTCGACCCGCACCACACTCTTGGTTGTTCTCTCTCTTCTCGCCGTGATCATCTCCGTCGCATCGGCAGCAGGGTTGCGCAGCGGCACAGAAGTCGGCGGGTTCAAGCCGATCGAAAACTTAGGTGATCCTTACGTTCAAGACATCGCAAAATTCGCGGTTAAAGAACATAATGAGCAAGAGGATTCTCATCTCGGAATTGAGAAAATCGTAAAGGGTGAAGAACAGGTTGTCGCAGGTAAAAATTACCGGCTTACGATCGCGGCTAATGATTCTCATTACTACGAGACGGTTGTTTATGATAAGCCATGGGCAAAGTTTAGGAGTCTTACTTATTTTAGGTCTGTTAGCCTTGTTTAATTAGATTTTTGTTTTTGCGTTTTATTTGGTTTGTTTTACAAATGTTGTGACAAAATGTTATGCATGAATATTATGAGTAACGTTTTTAATATGGAATGGTAGGGAATGAATTTTGTGTTTATGTTTGTATTTATTTTGTGTGTGGATTTGTTACGGTGAAAATAAGATGTTACATTGTAGACAATGTTTAATGGGTTGAGGATTTGGGATGAAACTATGAAAGTATTTCCTCTGTTTTTTTTTTTAAAACATATATATTTTGGTTCGACTGAGCACATATGTTGATGTAAAACTTTAGTCAATACGGATTAATACCTTAAATTAGTGTACGAGTATAACACAAATTATAAAAGTTGATATTGAAAACTATTTAAGGAGACGATTTCAATAAATATTCGCATGACTATATTTTTTCTTATATATAAATCACTAATAACATTGGTCAAAAGCTAAATATGTGAATAAATTTTAAAAATCCCATTGGTTACTTAAATAAAAATAGGAGTAACTTATTTATATTTGCCTAACTTAGGTTGCTTGACCATTAGCAAACGATATCTAAACTTAAAAGAATCAATTCTTGTCATTTTGATAATTTTTTTTATCATGAATTAAAGTACAAATTACAAAATTAAATTAAAATTTCATCAAATCTAAAAATCAGATCAAATCAAATAAACTAATATAACCTTAACTGTAAAATAAATTTAGGTAAACAAGGCGAACAAAATAAGCCTAACTTAAGGCACCAAGACCAATGGAAAATTAAGGTAAAAAATGGGACAAGGATTGTCCCTTTATCATTTTCCATTTCAGGAAAGGTAATGCCAATACTTAAAAAGCATACTAATAAAATATCCATCCACTCATCACTAAAGTCAACACCGCAAATTCTAAGTAGTGTGCAAGCAACCATAGTTTACCGATGGGGGGTCCAAGTCCAACCCATTATTAAGCAAAATACCAAACCATGGCCCCATTTTCCTCACCCATCGTTTCATGTGCCAAGTAATCCATTACTCGTACTAATTATTGCACCAAGTTGTCATACTCCTTATTATTTACTTCCTCCGTTTTTATTTCTTGTATTTGTAACACACACTTTTTTTAACGTCATTTAAAAAATATGAAACTCACACTATCTAATAAATCTAAATAGAGTTAAACTTTAAATCTATACTTCTATACTTTTGTATTTAAAAACACAAACCATCATCCCCGTCATGGCACATGTAATTAAAATTTAATTTTCACCAATGTCACATGTCACCTTCCTTCATTAATTAATCCCCTTTCTTATTATTTTAAAAAAGAACTAGCTTTAATTCAATACATGTATGAATGTTCCCTTAAAAAAAAAATATACATATATGAATGTTATTTGATTCATTTTCCCCCAACTTAATATCTCTACAATTACATTCAATTATCACCCGGCCCCTTCTTGACCTTTATAAACTATTCATTTTCCAATTAAAACATATTATAAAACAAAAGTTACTATTATTCCCCTTATGAACATCCCGTGGATTGCACAGGTCAGAAGGTTAGTTAAGGATAATATGACAACTTTTAACCCAAAAAACCTCTACATAACCTCTATATAATCGAAATTTTTCATAAAAAAATCAATGTAACTAAAATGATAACCCGATACAACGTCTGGACCCACACTAAAAAATTTTTAAACAAAAGGATTGGATTCATCTCCCAAGTGTCCTATCTCCGCGTTCTTCACTCCCTATAAATAACCCCTTAACTACCACCCACTTCCATCACATTAATCTCATCTATCTTTCTCTCCTCAAATCTAGAAAATTAAAATCCAAAAAACTTCCATATTTCTCTCTCCTAAAATCCAGATAATAATGTCGAACCGCAACATTCTCTTCATCATTTTCTCTCTCCTCGCCGTAATCTCCGCCGTATCCGCCGCCGGAAGACGCACCGGCGCCGTCCTCGGAGGCTACAAATCGATCAAAGATATCAATGACCCCTATGTTCAAGAAGTCGCCAAATTCGCGGTTGCGAAACACAACGAACAGTCGAATACTCACCTCGGAATTGTCAGAATCATCAAAGGTGAGTCGCAGGTTGTCGCCGGAACTAATTACCGGTTTTTAATCGCCGCCGATGATCATCAGCAGTATGAAACTGTTGTTTATGATAAGCCATGGCAACATTTCAGGAGTCTTACCTATTTTAAGAAGGTTTCTGCTTAGATTTTTAGTTTTTTATTTTTGGTTTTTATCGTGAATTTTCGAGTGATCTGAAGAATCAAATGAATAAATGTTGTACACAAAAAAATGCTTGGAATGAATTTTGTGTAATTGTTAAAATTTTTTCAGTATGTAACTTCATTTGTCGTCATTTTTGTGTGTTTTAATTATTTGGGTCATGGTTTTATGTAATACTCCATGTTAAGGAACTCTCGTAATATAATGATGTAGTCGGGATTTGATTCATGGAAGAATAAGGAGTCTCGTGATTAAATAATGTAGTCGTGATTTGATCACCTACCATTTTTTTTAATCAAGGCAATAGAGATGAAGGAATCGCAGAAATTTGTACTGATATTTGAAGAAGAATGAGGATGGAAGTAACCGACATAGGAAGGAAATACTTGCCCAAAATGCTACGTTTTTCCTCGCTCTAATTTGTCTTTTCATGAAAACTTTGGGTAGAAGAAAGTTGTGCGGTTAGGATGAAATTTCACACAATTTTGCGTTTTTTTAGGATTAACACTTTTTAATACGGAGTAAGTTTTTGAAAGTTTTTTTGACAACGACGTTTTTCAAAGTTGATGACAATTGTTGTCAATCTTGTTACGAGCCTACTAATCTACTATGGTTTATAAATATAAATCGACATAAGTTTTAATTTTTGTAAAAAATTGACCAGACCTAAGTTGAAGGTAATAAATTCAGCTAAATTAAGTTGACACAAATCACACAATAAACCCTAACTTGATAAATTAATCAGCAAATGACAACGTAATCCCTTTGAAGAGCGTATTACCAATTTATCATTAAGCATGTTTGTATTTGATAGGATAACATTAGGTGCTAGCTCAATGAAACAAATGACTAAGGTACGGTTACGTAATTTATGTTTTGCATCATCCATAATCTGTATATTATAAATAACCTTGACAATATCAGTTAATAAGAACTTTAACTGAGTAATATCAAACATCGCATTTAAAGCACCAAAAAAGCAATTTACAATAACCCTTTGCAATTATTAAAACTTGTAATAATAATAAACAACTCATCAGTTCCTACATTACAATCAAAATAAACAAGGGATAACTACATCAGTACATCCCAAATGGATTAACCATAGATATAAGTAATTAGACGCGCCAACCGAATCAAAATCTGGCAAACCCAGGTAACAAAACATAACTTTTATCCTGTTCATTCTTTTGACTTCTTCTTTTTCTTCTTGCTCTCACTAACAGCTGATACATCTTCACCATCATCTTTGCTCTTTTTCTTCTTCTTCTTGATAGTTCCATCTTCCTTCTCACCGTTCTCAACAGCAACAGATTCTTCTTGTTCTAATCTCCGCTTTTCTTTCTTCTTTTTCTTCTCAGACTTAGTTTCTTCCAATCCACTACCATTTGTGGCAGCAACATCATCATCCTTGGATTTCTTTTTCTTACTCTTTTTTACAGCAGAGTCAGGCTGATTATCCAAGTCCATATCATCATCACCTGTGCATGTTTTAAACAGAAAGGTTAGTAGCCTGAACAATATCCTCTAACCTCAAGAATCAACTAATTCAATTCAATACCATCATACAAGACAAATGTCTGATACTCACCATCCTTATGGGTTTCAATTGCTGCTTTCATGACATCAATATTTTTCCGAGGTGCAACTCCCTTGTCATAGAAGTCAAGCCTTTCCTCTACTTGTTCACGTAGCTTTTCACCAAAAACAGTAGAGCCCTTCTCTGTATCAAATTCAAGAATCAATTTGCGTCTTCCCAACAGAGAATCAAATTGCAAGCGAAGATATAATAAGTTGCAACAGGAACTAACCTGAGAAACAGTCAATACGAGAGGCAATGGAACACTTATTTGCAAGATAACGTGCCATACGGCCCTTGTTCCGAGAAGATGCCCGCCCAATGAAAGACGAATGGAATATTAGACCATACTTAGGTGTGTTTCCTCGTGTTTTCAGGGCCCTAAACAAAGAGTAATAATGAGACACATTTCTAATGCACAATGATTCTTCTTACTAGGCAAATATGAAGATCACAAAAGCTGTAACATCCCAAATTTTTCCAAAGGTATAGTGTATCAAACTAAAGTGTAAAACCAACTAAACTAGTAGCTTCTTACCAAAAATATGCAAAGAATGCCAAGAGTACCAAACATCACCAAGTATCAGGAATTACCTGAAGAGTGCTTTCTCAGCACCAAGAATTTGAAGGGTGGAAGAAGGGCACTTTGCCAGATTTGTAAGGCTACCAGCATGGGAGATCAATCTTGCTCCGACCATCTCACCAATCAAAGAGGTCAAATTTGGGGCTATTTCGTTCATTTTTGTGACCAAGTAATCATAAAGCTTCCTCCTATACTCAGACAGATCCATTACTCTTTGAGCAAATTGCTGGACATTAATCAAGTCAACGGGAGATAATTCTTGTCCTGCAGGAAGGCCAGCATTATTAGGATTAATATTCCATTTTTGTCTTTTTTAAATGCACATGTAAAACAAACTTTGACAAACAAAGAGTATATTTACCCATAGATGCTTTAGCAGCTTCAATAATCTCCTTTGCTTTATCCTCATCACCAACAACTTCAGTCAAGGCAGATAGCTTCTCCTCAGACAACTCTGACTTGTTCTCAATATATTTGGCCAATTTAGCATAAAGATAATTGTCATTGATTATCTTAACTAGCTCAGGGAAATGCCATGAATACCACTCCCTGCATTAAGAGGGCAAAGAGAGTTTAAAAGAGCCCTGAAATCATTCAAAAGTAAGAGGGGCGCAACATAGTGTAGATAGCATGTGGCAAACCTGACTCTCATTGAAAATGAGTTAACATCTTTGTCAAGGGTATCAAGCAAAAAGATCGCTTGTATAACCATGCTGTCGACACGATTAACATTGAACTTGACCTTTGCCCTGCTGTAGCTGTGTCCTAAACCCAATTGAGATTTCTCTAAATCTCCAGGCTACATAAAATAGGAAGTGCAAAACATCCTTCAGACAAATACATCCATAACCAGTAAATAAAAACAAGCTTATCAGAATTAGGATGCAACTGTGCACGACAAAGCCCCTAACAAATTTGAACGGGAAAAATTCACAACCTTAAGATTCTTGATGTAATGCTCAAAGTGTAATCGAACACCACGGAGAAGCTCCAGCATAAATTCATTACTTCTGCAAGAAATGTTAGTCCCTTCAGAGATACTAGCACCAAGTTTAGAGTCTGCTACTCCAACAATAAATTCCTTGGCCTTTGAATTTTGAAAACTCAGCTCTAAGAAATTTCTCAGTTCATCAGTCATAATACCTGTTCAAATGCAATGTATAAATTAGTTCAGCTTCAATCTCCTTTAAAACCAAAGCTGACACACCGATTTCAGCACAAACAAGGTAATTGATGAGCAATAAGCTGTAACTTAAGCCATTTACAACAAATGCATAATCTAATCTATGTCACAGCTACATTTTCTAAATTCAAAAGCTAAGCTATGTACTCCATGTATTACAAATAGAAAATTTAAGAGTTAAGGATTCAACACATGCATTTTCACTGTTATAAATTCAAGCATTTTATGGATGACTCAATAACACAAAACCCATCTCTCAAAAACCAAGCAGCCCATAATATCAGTTAGTAAAAATCAACAAAAACATACTACAAAATCACACATTTTTCACAATCAAAGCGAAAAACATCAAATTAACACCAACAACAAAAACCCAGAAACAAAACAAAATGAAATTGAAAAGGAAAGAAAACCCACCTTCAGAAACAGCATTGCATTGATTAAGAGCATCAAGAGCAGACTCAAAAGGCTGAAAAGCAGTAAGCTTGACAACTTGACCAAAACGATTAAGGTCAGAAACGGAGTTACGAACAGCTTCGGTGTTCTGCCCAATTTCATCTATTCCTTCAGCATTAAACAACCCATAACCGGATGAGGATTCGAATAGCAAATACGTCTTCATTACTACTTTCTCTCTCCTCCTTTTCACTTTCTCTCTCTTCGCCTCTGTTGAACAAGGAAGAAGAAACAGAGAGTGGAGGTGGTGGGTTTTGATTTTAGGGTTTAGGGTTTTCGTTTGATGACTGAAGTGGGTTTGTGCGGAATGAAATTTAGGGTTTTATTATTTTAATTTCTTATTTAATCTCATTGTAATTATACTTGTAAAGACCTAGCAAAGTGGTTATTCACGTCGGGTTCGAGTCAAGTCAATTCAGGCCGGATCAAGTTTGGGTCATTAAATGTTCGGGTCGGGTCGATTTGGGGTTCGGATTAAATTCGGGTCTGCACTTCGGGTCAAGTTTGGGTCGTGTTTGTTCGAGTCGGGTCAGGTCAATTTTTAGGATTAATTTTCGGGTCGGGTCTATTCAGGTCAAGTTTGTGTCGGGTAACCAAAATAAATTCACTTAAAAAATAGTTGGGAAAATAAAGTAAAATCGTTAAAAAATATATAAAAAAATAATCATGAGTATCTATTACTTAGGAAAGAAAGAAGCCCTAAACTAAGTAATTTAGCATTTCACCTTATTCACTTAAGGATTCGAGTCAATTCGGGTCGGGTCATTACGGGTCGGGTCACTTTGGGTTTCGGGTCAGGTCATTCTGGCCGAGTTACTTTGGGTAATGGGTCAACTCCATTTCCGGTCGGGTCGGGTTAGTTTGGGTCATTTTCAGGTCAACTTTCGGGTCAATTGGGTCGGGTCAAGATTTCCTGGTTTGCAGTTGTAAATTTGTAATTGCTAATGTATTTTTCGTTAAAAAAAATTGGTTTACGTGTCGAAAAAATATTCGGTTAAAGTTTTAGGGGTCATTATATTCCTTAAGTTTTCGAATTGACCTCGGAATTAGCAAAAAAAAAATGTAATTTCCTAATTATCACGTTCTTTTTGTAATGTCTTTGTGTTATTTAATAATGCATGTTCATTATTAAACACAAACATGTTCTTTTTAAAAAAACCTGCATGTTCTTTTTCGACATCTAAATGTTCTTTCCGCCTTTTTTTAGTTAACCGGGTACACCATGTTCATGATGCACCGATCATGCATTACTTTCAAGATTTTAACTAACTAAACTAGTTGATTATCCACAAACTTTGAATATGATGTACATGCACGACTCATAGCCAACCAACATTTCCTAACACGAGTTGCGCCGTGCGCAGTTTATGTTAAATCGAAATATTTTGTGTTAACGCATCGTCTGATCATCTCTTTTTACGCAATAATACCATCTCGATCCATGCGCAACTCTATCGTAATATTCGTAATAGGTCAGTGTGCTAAGATGAGAGTAATTGTCCAATAAAAAAAATGGGGTTTGATTGGGGTTGGGGTGGTTGACCACCATAAAAAAATCAAAACAAGGCAAAATCCCTCAAATATCCTTCCTTTTCCTTTCATGTGCAAACACAAGATATGCGACAAAAAATTAACTCCGATAGATGATAAAAAGAGATATACTCGTATTATTATTACATATACTTGTATGTATCCTTTTTGGTTTCAATGCACCACTGATTATCTTGATCGATTGCAACCACAAACCCTAGGAGAGAGAATATCCTAGTACAAATTTGGGGATTTCTCAGATTCATTCAACTCCCTTTCAATTTTTCGAAGTTTTGAACAACTTGAAACGATGAAGGGTCTTTTTAAATCCAAGCCACGAACTCCGGCGGAGATTGTCCGTCTTACCCGTGATCTCCTCGTTCAATTTGATATGGGTAGTGTTCGTGAAAGCAAGCGCGAAGAGAAGGTATATTTCGATTTAAATTTTTTTATTTTTGTTTGATCATCTGTCAATTGAAAAGAAAATTCTTTATTTTTATGGTTGATCATATGTAGATATTGAAAATCTTGATTTAAGATTGATCATTGATTTGTAATTTTTGTTTGTTTGTTAGGAGCAGAAATTTTGTTGGATTTAAATAACATTAATTTATTGTTTTATGTTTTTCTTGATCAAATTGATATGCAATATTGTATTTGTCTCGTTAAATTTATTATTTTTGTTATAATTTTGATTGAATCAGCTTAAATTTTGAATTTTTAATTTGAGTTCGTGCTGTATGGCAGTATTTAGGATCTTAATTTTTACGATTTGATCTTTTATGCTGATTTTTGTGCAAAACGTTTGAAAGTTTGGACCTTTTTCGCTTTTTGTCTTGTATTTAGGTCAGTCAAGTTGGCCCTAGGATGTAAAAGTTGTCTAGAAAAGTCAGCAATACCAATTTATGCAATTATCTTAAAGCTGTTGCTCTGTTTATCCGATACACTGTCAATGGCTTTCGGTTTGTAATTCACTAGTATATTTGTTGTGTAGCTTTGTAGGTGATTGGATTTGGTCACTTAGATTCCTTATGATTAGGTTTGTGAGTAGTCTTAGACTCTTAGTGGAGTCATGGAGGGGGTTTTATTGATCTAGGGACACATGTATCACTAATTGTGAGATTGAAGTGTTTTCAATCATGGTATCTTGACTGAAAATTAGTTCCTGTAAATGTTTTATTTGATGTGTATGTAGAATTGTAGATCATATGGGCCCTTCTATCATCTCTTTTCTGGCAATTGTTATATGAAGTTCAAAATTTTGAGTCTTTGTTTAACCCAGGCTCGCGGTTGTTATCTTGACAATCTACCAAAGATTTACTAAGTTATGAATTTGGATTGCAATAAACTAAATTAAAAATGTCACATTAATTGTGCACACTTCGTATTTATTGTGATTTGTGAAGTAGTAGATTTGTAGATGATCATTACGTATAAGATTAAGGCTCAAAAATAATGCTTTTCTTATGGAATGCTGCTTGCCTTTTTATTTTGTCTTCTATTTGCTGCTTTATCACGTTACTTGGATCATTTTTTCTATATTTTACTAGAATGCATCTGTGCTAATCAGGATTGAATCAATTTATGAAGGAAATCATTGTTAAAAAATTCCTTTAATTTCGCTATTGGAATCTTCTAAAATTATCTCAGTGATTGTTTGGTGTTGATTGAATATATTTTCCCTTTTTCTTGCATGATAGGTATGTTACCAAAAGTGTAATAAACTTGGTTGCCTTTTATGTAGTATGACGTAGTGGTTGATGTGGCACTGTGAGAGGAGCTTATATTCTCCTCTCATCAATCCCCACTTTGTTTTAATAATATAGATCTCAAGCTATTTTTTATATGGAGTTTTAACCCACGTTTTGAGGTATTAAGTACCAATTTATTGTTTGCACATTTTTCCTTCAGATGGTAGAGCTAAGCAAGTACATACGAGAATTGAAATGTGTTTTATATGGAAATAGCGAAGCAGAGCCAGTTGCCGAGTCTTGCACACAGCTGACCCAAGAGTTTTTCAAAGAGAACACATTACGTTTGCTTATCAATTGTCTTCCCAAATTGAACCTGGAGGTATGTCATCTGTCTTCTTGTTGGATGGAAAATTTGGTCACTTGTGTATTTCCTAACTCCATTGAAACTTTTTCCATTGGGGTTCAAATGTTCAATAATTCCCAAGTTATACTGGATGAGATTACTATTCGGGCACCTGCTGCTTTCATTTTTAGGATTGTTCCCCACTGCCCCTTGGTTTTGCTAATTTTTTAAGGGTAATCTTTTGTAGGCTCGCAAAGATGCTACTCAAATCGTTGCTAATTTGCAAAGGCAACAAGTTCAATCGCGTTTGATTGCATCTGATTATCTGGAAAGAAACATAGATCTGATGGACATTCTGATGACAGGGTATGTTCTTGGGATGAGAGAATGGAAACTAATACTTTTGAAACTTTCCTCTAGTGTGTGATAATTTTGTCTTGTTCGGCTTTATTTTCCAACTCTTTGCATAATGTATCATATGTATTATATCTACTTTGGGTGATTAGACTGTGCGCAAAATTGTTTCTTATCTGTGATTGGTTCTTTGAATTTTGTAATTGTTTAAGGCTTAGTAAATTTAATGAGTTACTCTTAATAATATCATGAAAGGATTTCCTTTGTGATTTAAACCTAGTTTATGATTCCTGATTCTTGTCTGAATACTTGTTGTGTAGATATGAGAATACGGACATGGCCCTTCATTATGGTTCCATGTTGAGGGAGTGCATACGTCATCAAGTTGTGGCCAAGTGAGTTCTTTAGTAATGATTGTTTAGTTCCGTTGAAGAAAAAGTCTTCCTTAGTTTTTGGCTCAGAGTTGACTTTGCTTTATATTAGAAACATTTTTCGCTCCATTATTGAATCTTCCGTTTTCATGTTTTCCTTGACTTTCTTCAATCCTCATTTGAGCGACATGTTATATTTATGATCTCCTATAATACTTGGTAACAATTAATTATATGATAGCATAATATCTTACTTGCCAAAAATGCTATTCATGAGCAACTTTTATATTTACAACCTCCGTTTCAATTTATTTGCAGTGTTTACCATAAATGGACACTACAAATTATTTGCGACAAATGTTTTCTTTCCTTTTTTAATTTTCATTTCTTTCTATCTCTCCTAGTCTCCTCATCACATGCAACTTTATTTTCTCCCCATTTATCACTCACAAACAAATTTTACCTAAAACTGGTTTGTGTCACATCGTTGCAAACTTGCAAATAAAATTGAAACGGAGGTAGTATTTATCTTCCCAGATCGAAAGCTCCCCCCTTGAAATTTGTCCCTAATGGACATGATTGACTTTATTTACCTTCATGTGGAAATTGTTTTGTTTGTATGATTAGTCTGCCATCATTAAATTTTCTATGTCATGACTCATGATTATCTATCATCAAAATTCATGCATTATCTGTTATTCTGTACAGATATGTATTGGAATCAGAGCATTTGAAGAAGTTCTTTGAATTCATTCAGCTCCCAAATTTTGACATTGCTGCTGATGCTGCTGCAACTTTTAAGGTTGGGCATTTTTCTCTATGTAGATCCTTTCTTTCTTACTATCTGATCGCCAGAATGAATATGGTTTCTTTATGACGGTTTTATAAATTTGGGATATCTTGTGTCTTGTCTCAAAATTCAAAGAAAGCTTCAGGTACAGGTCATTGTATATGCTACACATGTGCTATGTGTACCTGAAGTTCTTCCAAATCTTAGTTATATTTGTTATTTACTTATCTATGTCCTAGCTAAACTTTAGTTATATGTCAAATATGCTACAGTTTTTAATTATGGCCATAATGCAGGAACTCTTGACCAGGCATAAATCCACTGTAGCTGAATTTCTTACTAAGAACTATGATTGGGTAAGACAATATACTTCTCTTTCTTTTTGAATGTTGGTTGTAAAAATGGCCAGAAACTATGTTACTACATACCATGTACCTTAATATGAACTATAACACAAGTTAGATCAGTGTTACTTTATTTGTTTATCCTCTTATGAATTGGTAACAGCATATTACATGATAATGGTACATTTTGGCTTAATTTATGTATCATACCCTATGTTGTACTGGTGAATTAAGTAACATTGAGGTAGATATGAGGACTTGAGGAGTAGTTTCTAGTTTGAGAATCTTGCAAACGTAGAATTAGTGTTGGGAGATTATGGGCTTATCGAGTTCAAAGTCTCTGAAAGGAAGTCTTCGGAGTTGCCTTATCTTACGTTGTTTGATTTAGTTGTTTTCATCACTCTATTCATTTATTTTATTTGAGTTTCTTCAGTGTGATACTGATTTTCTGAGTTCATTACATGTTCCAGTTTTTTGCAGAGTATAACTCAAAATTGCTGGAATCTACCAACTACATTACCAGAAGACAAGCAGTCAAGGTATTTATAATGGAATCAGTAATTACTTAAGTGGTTTCGTGGTTACACAAGAAGCATAATTTCCTGGGAAGTTGTAAATTGGGGAAATTTGAGTTCCACTTCTCAGGAAAGGCCAAAAAGGGGGAAGTTTTTAACTATTTCCCCTAGGTAATTGGAATGGTTTTAAGGAGTAGAACGCATAGGAATTGCTAGTTCTTTGAACTTGTAATTTCCTTAGATCAACCAAATGTGAAAAGACAACTAGTATTTTTCATAATTTAGTCTACTTTTTCTTGTGAATTTGTGTTATCATTTGATACATTATGTGGTAAAATTTTCTTTTCCAGGATTGGATGAGTGCTAATGTAGTTGTTGCCACCCTGTATTTGCTGATACTATTTTCGTGTCTTTCAGCTCTTGGGAGACATGTTACTTGATCGTAGCAATTCTGCAACCATGACGAAATATGTGTGCTCCAGGGATAATCTACGGATACTTATGAATCTTCTAAGGGTAACTAATACTTGTTACTTAATTTTGTTTTTGCCTCACCCCCCCCCCCCCCTCTCTCAATGGATTAACCCCTAGTCCCCAACCTTTCCGAATCAAAAAGATATTAGAAAAGGCGTGTAATGGGGGCTGGAGCAATGTATTGACACAAATCTGTTATTTGGAGTCTTTGTGAATGTTTCATGGTCCTATAGCCTTGGTAGTGTATACCCTCAACTTTTATTGTGATGATACAGGAGTCGAGCAAGACCATCCAGATAGAAGCTTTTCATGTTTTCAAGGTTGGTTTCAGCAATTTCACATTCTGATTATGAGTATATGCTTTTACTGTGTTTGATCTGTTGTGTTTTCCAAACAGCTATTTGCTGCAAACCAAAACAAGCCAGCTGACATCGCTAACATTCTTGTTGCAAACAAGAGCAAGCTTCTTCGATTACTAGGCGAGCTCAAGACTGATAAAGGTATTTTTCAAACTTCTCTCTTTCCCTGAAGTTGGTATGTTGACCATGTTCCATTTAGAGCTTGGATCTGTTTTTCACAAGGACGGCTATTATTTTAAATTACCTTCTTGATTTCTGATTTACGGATTTGATGATTTTGTAGAGGATCAACAATTTGATGCAGACAAGGCTCAAGTCATGCAGGAAATCGCTTCTCTTGAACCCAAAGAGCTTGCATAAGCTATTTTTATTGTTGTTGTGTATTATCATTTTCCATTGTATCCCCGGCTCTTTTTATCCTCCCCTTGAGCCCTTTTTCCAAAGCATAAACCTGTGGATTTAGCAGCACCGTGGTGTCCTCTGTTTGGCACTAGTATCTAATCGTTTACTGCCCTTTTTATTTTATTTACCCTTATCCCTTGATCCACAGATGTTAATTAGAAGGTAGCTTCCAGTTCTCAATATCTTCTAATTTTGAGTTAATTGAGAACACCTTTGTAAAAAAAAAAAAAACGTCAAAGGTAAATATGGTTGATTTGACAAGTTCAAAGTGCAATACATCTTTCTGTGTGGCTTCTTCTATGTCATATTTCTGTTGATTTCCTTTCTAATACCCATGAGTCCATGATTCGGGTTTGTCTCGTATATTTTTCAATACATGCTTATATACCAAGGCTAAGTTCGATGCATTGGCTGATTGACTAATACTTAGATGAATAAACAACTGACAATGGATATACTAATTGTGTACTTTACAGTTTAGGGAGCAAATGTTTAGTCCAAACCTTAGTTTAAGGCGTATTTAGGACAATTCACTCGCTGTTAGTTGCCTAATTTTAACGAAGCGTTTGTATGGCTTTGAAAAGATTATAGCGAGGGAGAATAATTTTGGTGTATGTAGTTGAAAACTTGCGTTTCATGAGGAGATAGAAGATTGAGCCGTGTGAAGTCACGGATTTAAAAAATGCAAAGCAGCATATTATTTGCAGATAGGCATATTCCAAGGGCTTGGTGGGGGTTATTCCATGTTCCATGTTATGGCCCTTTTGCATCTCAAAACTTCTGACCTTTTTTCTGAAAAACAAAGAAAATGGGGAATTAAAAAATGAGAGGAAAATAAAGAATCGAATAAAGTACTTTTTGGAGGAACTAATGACCAAATGGGTGGTAACCCCTTCAAGTAGAAGCATATAAATGCAAGGCCATTTTCATTCTTTACGCCCTTGCAAGTGTTTGGTTCATCCCTATACAGCATTTTACTGTAGTAATTATGGACTATATGTTAGACTCTTAGTGTTATTATTTTTTAAACGACTTAATTTAGTTGCCCTATTTTCCGTATTAATATCTGTAGAACGTAATCATATTATCTTACGTACTATGTAAAATAGCAAACAAAAAAAAAAGCCCAAAACAAAGTACAAGTCTCGTAATAAAAAAAATATGTACAGAGTTGTGAATAAAAAGGACGAAAATAAAAAGGGACAGAAATCTAATGTTGCACTTAAAAATAATGAGAAGTGTATAACATGATTGTTTTTTAAGATAAGATGAAAGACTCTACTAAACTGGCACCTCTCACAAATTTAACCAGTTTAGCTTCACATGTCGACTTTTGAAATAAAGGGTGCTAGTACGGGAATCCCTCTACTCCTAAGCATTTTGTAGTTGGTGGGGCTCGAACTTAAAGTGAGTTCCCCACCAACTCCACCGAAATATAAAAGTATATGCCATGATAGCCAATTAGCCATCCCGCTCTGTGAAGCAAAACAAAGGGAGTATAAATAGGTGGATTGCTAAACATCGCCCGCAAATCTCCACATAAAGCCCGCAAACTTATATTGAAGTTACAATATTGCCCTTGACCTTAAAAAAAACACAACCTCAAAAAAAATCAAAGTACGGGGATGTCGAGGCGGCAAGGCAAAGAGTTGGCGGCGGCTGCGGAGGAGGGAGGGTTGGCTCGTGGCGGCAAGGTGGTGGTGGCGCCAGGTCCGGCAGCCACATCCACTGGCCAGGCGTCTGGGCAGGACGCCCAGCCACGGTGAGTGGCGTTTGGGACAGGCGCCAGTCACTGTGGCTGGGCGTCCTGCCCAGACGCCAGGCCGGTGGACGTGGCTGCCGGACCTGACGCCACCACCAGCCATCGGCCGTCCTGGCCAGGGCCCCACCACCTTGCCGTGGTTGTTTTGTTATTTTTTTTTTAATTTTTTTTTGTTTTTTTGTATAATATTTTTTTTGTTGGAAATTGAGATTTTTTTTTTCTATTTTTGTGTAATATCATGTTTTTTTTTTGTTGGAAATTGATAATTTTTTGTTTTCTTTTTTTTTGTGTAATATTGTGTTTTTTTTTTTGTTGGAAATTGAGAAAAAAAAATTTCTTTTTTTTTTAATATTTTGTTTTTTTTGTTGGTAACTGAGAAAATTTTTTATTTTAAATTTTAAGCAAGTCAAATGTAAAAAAAAAAAAAAAATAAGGCCGGACTACCACCCTGGAGCCGGCGCCTGGTCGGGACGCCGCCACCATAGTGGTGGCGCCTAGCCGGGACGCCAGTACCATGGTCATGGCGCCTAGCCTGGAAGCCTCAACCATGGTACAGGCGTCCTGGCTAGGCGCCACCGCCATGGTGGCGGCGTCCCGGCCAGGCGCCGGTGCCACAGTGGTGACGGCTCCTCCGGACGCCAGCCGTCTTTTCCGATGACATTCGTCGCCCCCGGATCTCCGGCCTCCCCCGGCGTCCCCGTACGACTCAACATTTTTCGGTGAGTGAAATTTTCGTTTTCAGAAAAAATTGACAAAGGGGCAAAACTGTCAAATCATATTAATTTTGTGGGCTTTATGTAGTAATTTGTGGGCGATGTTTAACAAATCCCAATAAATAGATCACTGAGTCAGACACTAGCACCAGAAGGATCTAAAGCTCGCAGCATCAGTCATCACATAACCATTCACAAGACTCCCTTGTAAATTCAGAAAAATGGCTACCAATGGTATTTTCTCCTTTAATGAAATAAAATTCAGTTGAAATTTCATTGAATTTTCTTAAATTTGCTCAAAGTTTTGAACTTTATTAATTTTGGGTGTTAAATTATGTTTAATAGAGCAACTTTCAAAGTTCCTTGCGACTGCTGTTGATGCTGCCAAGAAAGCTGGCGAAGTATCTCTCTCTTTCTCCACAATTTGCATGTTTTTTTTAATCAATTTAAAAAGTGGGATTTTTTTAATTTTTGTTCATATTACAGGTAATTCGGAACGGATTTTATCAAACCAAAAATGTGGAGCACAAAGGCCAGGTTAATCTAAATCTACTTTGAGATGCTGGGTTGTTTTTAATTTTTGTGAATGTTTATTTCTGATTTTTCGCATATTTAGTATAGATTCAGTTAAATTGTAAGAAATTATGAATGTTCTGCAATTGTATTTTCTTTTTTGGTGATGTAGCATTGGCATTTTCCCTATCTAAATTGATAGATTGGAATGAATTGAGCTCTGGATGATGGACATTTTTCGATTAAATTGGTGTGTATATAGACAAATAATAATCTGTAGTGTTTTTCTTGGAATATTGGAATTTCAGGCATTTGTAGTTTTAGGAATGATGTTGAAGATAATGTAATCCTTTAATTTTACAGGATTAATCTGATTATATGCTTAATTTCCCCTGATTACCGCCATTAGATAAGCAATTTCCCTATAATCATGAGATGAGCTCGAATTTATGAGTTATGCTTTGTAAAAAAATCTAAAATGAAAAGTTAAACAATGAAATGGAAAAAATGTAATTAAATGCCTTATTTTTTTTACAATGACAATTGTTGTAGATTTTAGTCTAGTGACTAACTAAAGAATCTATGATCTGGTGGTTTTGAATGCAGTGAGAGAAGGGTTGAAATTCCTTTTATTTCAATGCTACATTCATTCAATGTATACCATGAACTTTGCTCGGAGTTTGGGGGGAAAACTCCTTAAGCTGGCAGGAATGTCGTGGATATACACCTTGCCTTGGGGATAAATCAGGGTAACCCAGAATGTGGTAATTGGTTGGCAATTAAAATGGGCTCATGAATGTACTAACACTTTAGTACTACCATTTACTTATGTGCACGTTCCCAAACGTGGCCTTTTGGGGAAGGTGAGACGGTGTCTCATTCCCAAACGTGGCCTTTTGGGGATGGTGAGACGGTGTATAATGTACATGTCTGCTAGTGCATAATGTCTTGTGTTTTGGTTAGTGGGTCTGTAATCTTGCTATGTAATGTCTTGTGTTTCGGTTAGTGGGTCTATAATCTTGCTGTGTAATGTAGACAGTATAGGAAGAGTTCTTCATTAGAATCAGAGGAAATGGATTGGCTGACTGATGTTAGCGGCTCAAGTTAGCAATATACTATTTTTTTGGTGTTCTACCCGGTTCACCCTTTGGGCTAATCCAGATTCACTATTTAATCGTGGGGTAACTTGTCCAAGCAGGTGGATTTGGTGACAGAAACTGACAAGGCATGCGAAGAGCTTGTCTTCAATCATCTCAAGCAATTTTACCCTGATCATAAGGTTTTTCCTTTTTCTGGTTCTCCTTGTTTCTGAATGTCTTTTGTTGATTGCAGGACCCAATATATCATATTTTTTATTTTATATTCTATTTCAGTTCATTGGTGAAGAAACTACGGCTGCCTATGGTGCTACAGAGCTAACGGATGATCCTACATGGATCGTTGATCCACTTGATGGGACAACTAACTTTGTGCATGGGTAAATAGTTACAACCTTTAACTTTCTTGTTGAAGTTGATTCTTTCTAAGTTTAGTTGTATCCCTTTCTAATCTCAGGTTCCCATTCGTGTGTGTGTCTATTGGTCTCACCATCGGAAAAGTCCCAGTTGTCGGTGTCGTATATAATCCAATTATGAATGAGGTGAGAACCGCCAATCCTTGAAATTTATAATGCGGTTAAGACTGTGTGAGTCGGTTGAACATTATAAGAAATCGCAATTGACCTTTGTATGTCCTTTTGACCACTCTTCACAGGAAGTTTTTCTTTCTTTGTAATATAGTAGTTGAAGTTCAGATCAGAACTTGTGTAAGTTTTATGAACTGACATTTGGCTTTTGGCGTTTTAGCTTTTCACCGGTGTCCGAGGGCAAGGGGCTTTTCTGAATGGAAAACCCATACAAGGTATGTGTAACTTAATCAGTTGCTAGCTTCTTGATTTCATGACTTTCTTATTCAGAACCTTATCTCTCACCTTCTTGCAGTTTCTTCAAAAGATGAGCTTGTCAATTGTCTCCTTGCTACAGAGGTATTTAAAAAGACATTTTTCATTTATTTTTGGAAATTGGTGTATACAGCCCTAAGGGCTAAAAAGCTAAATGCTTATTTTCAACCCTAACGTTTGTATATAACATTACCGTTGATTTGTACTTTTAAATTACAACTTTTCCAAGTGATTTCATAATTGTGATAAATTAGGATCATCAGTGTTTCTTTTCAATTTCTCTGTTCTGTTTGCCCAGTCTTGTTAACTTTCTATCTTCGAGAACAATTATGTATATGAAGTGGGTTTTAGAAATACTTCTTGCATTGTGTTTCCTGAGTTTGATACTTGCAATTCATTATTGCCTTATTCTTTTCAATATTATCTTATAAAATTTCAACTTATGATTGTTTATTCCGTTTGTTGGAGCAGACTGGTACAAAGCGTGATAAAGCCACTGTTGATACCACAACAAATCGAATTAATTCATTGCTTTTCAAGGTATAGATCTGAATTATGTATTGTTGTCTATGGAGAAATAAGCATTTTGTGTAAGCTAAATAAATTTCTCCTGTAATCAGGTGAGATCTGTACGAATGTCTGGCTCTTGTGCACTGAACTTATGCGGTATAGCTTGCGGAAGGCTTGATCTTTTCTATGAGTCTGGATATGGGGGTGCATGGTATAAAATCTTGTCTTGTCCATGCTTCTCCTCTATCATATTATATTCAAAGGCCTGTCTTTACTCTATGAGGATTAGCAATGCTGAATATTTATGAAAAAAGGTGCGCATGTTTTAACTATTTTTCCTTGTGTCAGGGATGTGGCAGCTGGTATTGTAATTGTTGAAGAGGCTGGAGGCCGTGTTTTTGATCCGTAAGCTACAAACTTGTCGTGTCAAAAGTTTTGCATTTCTTGTTACTTCTTTTGATTTGTTGATTTCCTTTTTGTCATTTAACTTTAATATAAACCATAGATCATGTTAACAAAGATGTGTTGGTCCTTAGCACAAGGAGTGTTGACCAGCTTATGCTTGTGTTGATAATCTAAGCTAAAGATGTATTTAGTTCTCGTAATTAGTACACCTTCAATCGTAATTAATACTTTGTAGTTCATAGGTCACGTTTGATTTGGGGTAATTTTAAGCTAAAACGTAACATCTAATCTTCACTACTCAAATTCTTTTATCTTCGTCAAGCCAATGCTGTATGTACATTGAAATCTTATAGAGGTATTAGGGTAATATGAGAAAGCTAAAAAATTCACTTACTTTTTTGTAAAGTGCTTTATTAAATTGAGACTGACGATTAAAATTAGATAGCAGCCTATCATTTTCAGACAGAGATAGTGAGTAATTGATTTATTGTGGTTGTTGTTTTAATTTCAGGTCTGGTAAAGATCATGATATAACAGTCTCGCGAATAGCTGCTTCAAACCCCCTTATCAAGGATTCATTTACTGAGGCTTTCCGACAAGTTGAATGAGAGAACAAGCTAGCAAAACATACGTGAACAATACATTTATTCTACAAACTGGTGTTGCACCTTTCTGTCAACACCGGCATTTGGTATGGTCATTTTTTTCTCTTTGAGCATTTGATAACTGTTAATTCTTATTGTTTACAGTCCAATTTCTAATCAATGTTCCTAATGTATTGAAACCGTCAAGAATCCTAAAGAAAAGAGTATGTTATACTTTTTAGCTCTTCGTCTCCTACTGATGTATCCTCTCTGCATTGCGTATATCCTTTCTCTAACTCAAAAGAGAAATTATTCTGCTAAAGTATAAAGAAAGCTCGTGTTTGAGATAGATTTAACTCAATGTACACGTTCATGCTTCATGGGTCTTGTTAATGATTGCTGCTACTTTGGCTTGCTGCAACCTTGGTCTTCTTACTTTTCTTAAGTATTTCCAATACTAACGCAACCACCCCCCATGGTGCAAGCACACCAAAGATAGCGGCCCTCGCATCTATACCAGGTTTGAGGATAGTGAGACCCAAGCTTATGTTGAATAGGCCGAGGATTACCGTTACTCTCCCAACTAAGTGGTGGTACTTGCTCCAGTAGGATCTGTACATGTGGTCCTTATGTGGTCTAAGCACAAGTGCAGATACCTATAGATTCAAAACACGAAAAATAAGTACTCCTTTGATCCCTAAAATTTAAAGACCGGTGTCTATCCTAGCACATATCAAACTAATTGGTAATCCGTAGTAAAGTGTTATCATATTAAAAAGTGTTGCAATTATTTTGAAAGTAACGAAAAAGATAAGAGTTGTACTCGTAATTACTCTGTTGAACGGTGAATACACGTATGTATAGTACCTGAAACGTGGCCATACAAAAGAGGGCCGTCCCGATCCGTTTATGGTCGGCAAAATGTCTTAGGCCTTGGATACTATTAAGTTTGAGACCAATGGCCCAACCTGTAGCACCAAGAATGTATGCTGGGATTTGGCACCCAATATGAAGATAAAACCAAGTTGAGTCATCTTTTGGGAAAAATTCCTTGTAATGTCTTGCTATCATAATTCCCAAAGGCATCAATATTCCCCAGCCAATTATATTTACAGTTACATGCGCCTGAAATTGAAGTTATAATGTTTGCATGAATAAAAAAGTAGTGTATAACTTTTACTTGCTACCATAAATTCCAAAGGCATCAGGATTCGTCATTGGTTTTTGTTTTTCTTGAAAACTAAAAATGAAAATGAAAACAGACATTATAGTTTCCACTTTTCTATTGCCGTCAATGTTAAGTTCATTATACAATCTATATATGACTTAAAATTTAAAACCCAATTTATCTCTTGTGTTATCGTATTTTCTTGATATTATTATGAAAAACCAGTATGTACTTATCATAATTTTTATGTTTTTGTTTCCAATCAACACGTACGTTTATTAATAATTTGGAATTTAAAATCCGAAAGAAAACTCACATTTCTAAACGGAGTAGGTTTTTCAGAGAGGATGATGTCACCGGAAAGAAGGTTAAGGGAAGCCATGGAATGAAGGTTAGGGTAAGCCAAATTATGCCATAGGGGAGTCCCATACTCGTTTAAGAGCCCTTCTTGCCAAAGTTGATTAATCAGAGTCTTATTTTTAGGGACCTTAATCATTGCAAATATAAATATTTCGTCTTTAATAATCACGGCCTTTAGTCCTATTACATCGAAACTCAAAGCACCCTTAGCAAGGCCTGTCCTATAGGACATAATAGGGGATGTGTATGCCAAAACCGACCCATTGTCACCATTGCGGTATGCCACCAAAGTTTGTGCTCCAAGCATGGCTTTCCCCGTAGGGTTTATGGCCCATGCAACCCACTTGGCCAAGGAGCCGGGTCCCACCCCGGGGTGGCGGTAGGCCATGTCGAGTGTTCCGATTGAAGGGTTGTAGTTGTAATGTAGGGAGGAGTTGAAAAAGGGGAGATCAACACAATTTTTATAGCCATGTGGTTTTTTTAAAATTGGTGCAAATTTGTAATTGGCGCACGGAGTCGTCGATTGTACGTAAAAGGGTAGAGTTGTAACAAACAATATGAATATGGAAGAAAACATTTTTTTTTTTTCACATATGAGAAAATGATTTTGAAGTTTTTACCAGGTGTCAAAAATTATGGCGAAACAAGAGGATATTAGTATGCATGTTACAGATTGTAATTCTACATACATTAACATTATTATATTATCAAGACAGCTATAGATCGAGTTAAGGAATCCAAGATTATTATTGTTCAATCCATGTAATATTTGAAAAAAGGGACTAAATATAGTGTTATAAACTTATCATGACTATTTCATGTATCAAGCTAAATTGCTAATGAGAGCATATTGCAAATTATTTTGCTTTGATCATTAATAAAACATTTCAACCCCGTAGATTTGATGATCAAAATTAAAAGAGCAAAGCACATCATAAGGGTGTAACTTCAAAATTGAACATATTTTGTTATGTAAAAATGGTGCACAATGTACTTACCTAGCTTTGTATCTTTTTAATTACGCGTCATCTTACATGTTCTTAAGAAACACGAGTATATATACTTGTATTTATTTATCTATTTATTCATTCGAGCACTTATATATATTCTGCAAACTGCAATGTGGTATGCATGCTCTATATCACTCAAATATAATTTGATACATGTTAATTGCTATTTGTTATATGCATATATAGACCACAAATAAGTTCCGTATGATGTGGTGGGTAAGAACGATGATCAAACAAATAAATAAAAAATTGTTGATTTAGAAATTAGATATATATTTGGATATTCTTGAAAATTGTAGGTTATTGGAGGGAAAAAAAAGTTGATTATACCCTAATTAGGAAATTATTATCAACAATAATACGTCTATTCACCAAGTTGTTGCACTATATTTGTACCGATAATTGCTTGCATTGCATGCCAAATTGCCAATCATTATACGTAATAAAGTAGTTTGTTTTCCTAACCAATGTTCTTTATGTATTGAAAATGTAAACCTGTTACAAATTGATTAAATCCAATAACAGAAAAGAATATATATCATCCTCTTTAACCTAATTTTATTTAAAAATAATTAAAAACAAATCAAGTAATTAACCATACATATGACATTAATACAATATCACATCTAAAAATGGGCTTCAAAAATGTCAATCTGCTAAAAAATTGAAAGAAAATAAAGAAAGCTCATACAAAAACTAGACTTAAATCAATGTGTGTAGTGTACTACGTTCTTGGCCCTTGTTAAACGATACTAAAATAGTGTGCTGCTATTTTCATCTGATTTTCACTTATCTGCAAAATCGGACTTGTTTCTTTTGTTAACAATGTACTCGAGCACAAAGTCAGAGAGCACATATACCAGAAGCAGACCCAGGTAGGCAATCTTCCAACCTAGAGCAGGATCGAGGAGCTTGAGACCTTGCAATATATTGACGGTGCTTAATGCCAGTATCAAGTATCCAATTGTATGATGGTATTTATTCCAGTAATTTCTATAACGGTGTTCTTTATGTGGCCTAATTAAAAGAGCAGACACCTGAAAAATTATTGTTGTAAACAAAACACAAATTAAATGTAACAAACCCTTATAAATTATATGGAACCTTAATCGTTTAAATACTATAAGGATTCCAGGTGATCCTGAGATCGATTCTCATCACTTGCCCTTCTGGCTCTCTAAACATCAAAAAAAAAAATGTATGTTATGTATGTACCTGAAGCGTGGCCATACAAAAGAGAATGATGCCGATCCATCTGTGGGATAGGTGGAAGAACTCGTGGGTGCCGTTGCTGATTTTGAGACCGGTGGCCCAACCAGCCACTCCGACGATGTAGGCCGTGAGTTGACACCCAACATGAAGGTAGAACCAAGTTGGGTCTGCTGATGGTATAATAGCCTTCATATGCCTTGCTATCATTACTCCCAATGGCATCAATATTCCCCAGCTTACTACATTCATCACCCCATGCGCCTAGATCATAATTTTATTTTTATAAAATGTAGGGTGTAACGTAACATAAATATGTAACCAACTAGGGACGTACATATGTATAATATACAACAAAATTATACTCGTATTAAATTATAAATGTCTAAACAACAAAATTATGTTTTGCATTTTCACATTTTTATTTTATTTTCACGTTTATCTAATATTGTAATGTTAACCGTTCTTTCTCAATTTTAATTGTTTCCCTTGGTTTGTAGTTGTAACAAATGTATATATGTACTTATACATTATAAGGTAACAACATATTAATGGATTATTATTAAAACTAAAACATAGACTTACATATTTCCATGAAGAACCAAGACCGCTGGCACCACCAGTAGGAGCGAGGGCACCGGAAAGTAGATTAAGGGAAGCCATGGAACGAACGTTAGGCCCCGAAAGCGGATGCTGCTGGATAGTCCCATCCGCGGAAAGGGGCCCTTCTTGCCAAACCTGGTTAAGGACCGTCCCATTATTAGGGACCTTAATCGTTGCAACCATAACAATCTCATCATTAACAATTTCGGCCTTTAGTCCCGTTACATTAAAACTCAAGTCACCCTTAGCAAGGGTGGTCGCATAGGACGTTATAGGGGACGTGTATGCCACAATGGACCCGTCTTTGGGACTACGGTATGCCACCAATGATTGTGAACCAACCATGCCTTTCGCGGTAGGGTTAAGGGCCCACGCAACCCACTTTGAGGAGGCCCCGGGTCCCATACCGGGGTGGCGGTAGGCAATGTCTAGTGTTTCCAATGAAGGGTTATAGCTATAATGTAGGGCGGAGCTTAATACCGGGAGATCAATACAATTTTTATAGCCATTTGGTTTGTTTAAGGTTGCCGCGAATTTGTACTTAGTACATGGAATAGATTGAGCATTGGAACGTAGAGTTGTTGTAATTAATAACAACATAAAAATTAATAAGTATCTATTTTCCATAATATTGATATTGTTTTTATTTATTTATTTTTTGGGTTAGAGGAGAAGTAGGAAACCGTAAAATGTAAGGTGAAAGAAAAGTAATTATAGGCAGTAAATCTGCATATAATATAAAGGAGAGAAGATAGGGGGAGAGGGATTTTAGGACAACTGCTAATTACCTACCACTAATGTGAATATCAGGTTTTTACCTAATAATATTATGTTATGTAAACAAGAAACAAATTTTATTGTTTACATTCTTGTGTTATTTGTAATCTTGAACATTCATGAATTGAAATAACTTAATTATCAGGCAGTTTTATTAATATTGTGTAGTTAAAGGTGAGGAAAAAATCTTACCCTAATTATTTGATTGGGTGTAGAATGACTAGTGTTTTATTAAAAACAATGGACAAAATTAGATTAGAAATACCTCCGTAAACAAATTAAATTTTCACGAGGAAACCTAACGCATTTAACGCTAATATAGAAGGGAATCAAGAACTAATATAAATTCATTATTTGAAACTAATTTAGACCTTACAATTGACTAGTATTAATTTTACAAATGTCCAATTTGCTTCATGATTAACACATAAAGTTATTCTTAATTATCAAAAGTCCATATAAAAATTTGGAAGATGTATACGATAATATGGTCTATTTCAATAGGGATTGTCTATTTTCATTCACTTGATGACTAAGAGGCTATCACCTTTTACGCTTATTTCTTTTTGTTAAGCATGCAACACCTTCACTTATTCCTTTTTGTTATGCAACACTTTTAACTCTTTGAGGGTTTAATGACCATGAAGTGAAAGGCCCACTTAATATTCTTTCTAAGGGCCTTTTGAGAACTGGGCCATTAGAATAAAGAACTCGTCAAATTTTGGTCTTTTATTTTCTTTCTTTGGTCCACTATAAATATAGGCTTTTGGTACTACAAATACAACTCTATTAATTTTTCTTTTTAAAAAAAAAATATGTATGGTTAATATTTATTGCAAATGCGCAATAAAAAAAATTTCTGCAAAGAATTGGGTTCGGGTTATGAGTTTTGGTCTATAGGCAAGTAATTAATAACCAGATACAATCAAGATATTCATCATATAATCATACAACTTATGTTTTCTTTCACGATTAAATAACCTCAACCTCATCACGGAGTACCTCAAGTGTATCATACAATCATTCACAAGGTACAATCGGTTTAACACAGAGCTATCAAATAAGTAGTCTTGATTTTATCATCTAAATGTATACGTAGTATAATTTAATAAATGACAACATATCTATATGACTATATCTGGCAAGTTGAAGTATAAAACTTTTCACATTATCTTAATGATACTCTTGAGTGATTTTAATAAAAACACAAGAAGAAAAGGACAGTGCTGAACTGGTGGAGTTGAAAAGGCTCACAAAATTGACATTTAAATTAAATATATTATTTTATAATTTCAAATCAAACTATCAAACGTAACCTGTTATTTAAGAACAAAAGTTCTAATATGAACAACTACCACTTGTCTCGAATGTTTTTATGATCATGATAATAATCATGACTTTACACAGCTAAGAGGATAAAGAACATAAATTTAAACTCTATAAACTATTTCACATTGATACTGTCTTATTCTTGAAATTTCGACTCACTTAGTATTTACATAGTTATCAAATATTAAGTTTTTATGAGTATATATATAAAGGAAAAGAATTAACACCAGTGAATTACCTAGCTAGATTAGTGTGAATGTATATTTTTCAAAATTTTAAACTTTATATAATCTCTATATACATACAGAGATACAATCAGTGATATTAATGATCAAAGATACCTATAAAAGTAGCAAGTATGTAAAAGTCAAATGAGTCGAACTTTTAAAAACAAGGATGCAGGCATGTATTTAGATGATGAGTAGAAGTTTGACAATAGGCGGTAGCTAAGAGGAAGGGGTCAGAGTGTGTATGTCACAGTGTGCAAGCGGGCAAAAGCTCAAGTACAAGGAATTATGCACTGTCCGCCACTAAATATTTAGGATGTTGATAGAAAATAAAATCATACAAACAACAAACTGACAAGGTTTGGTCCCATATTATTATATCTTTAGCCCCCCAACTGTTTAATTTCCTTGGACCATCTTCATTTTCCCTCCACAATATTTATGAACTAGTAATTGTTTGACCTGACCATTTAAGGTCTTAATCAAGTTGTTGGCATGATGTATAATGGTTGATCATTCTAGCTATTGTTGTATTACTTAGACAAATAGTGCGCAGTTGGCTTGTAATTGGTTTACTTATTAAACGGTTTAGGTTTACCCACTTGATGTTATTAATTACTTTCTCGGTTTTTTTTACTTGACTTGTTTCTTTTTTCACGCTTTCTAATGCAAAACTTCAATGATTTATAATTTTAATTCTCCATAAGTAAAAATTATAAAAGTTATATATTATGATAGTACTTTTTGAGATGAATTCAAAAATATCCAACCATGTTTTTCCTTACAAATTATTCACAAAAGACGGTCAAAGGAGGAGTGGTGAATAGTATAAAAAGTCAAAGCGGGTCAAGTAAAAAAAACGGAGGAAGTATGTGTTTATATTGGTTGATCGACGTTGTTAGTTATGGACATTTTTCAATTGTTTATGGCCTAATTAATCTAAAGTCGCAGATTAACGTTTGCTATTATAAAGAGAATGAGGTGCGCCAATGACAATTATTTTTTTTATTAACATTTATTTATAATTAAATTCTAAGGGTGTGTTTTATTCACCTGATTCCCGCTTATCTGACTAAATTATAAGGGTGTGTTTTATTCACCTTATTTCATCTCCCTCCCCTTGTTTTCCTTCCCTTAACATTTTCTATATGGTCTGAATTTAATTGAACTTATTTAAAACTTATTTTATTTGTAATTTGAACTTAAGTAACCCTTTTCAGAACTTATATGTTTCTTGAACTGAACTAATAATCTGAACATATTTTTCCTAAATTGAAGTCATCTGAACTTATTAGAACTAAAGTAAGTGAAATAAGGTGAAAAGAACCGGCCTTAAATTGTTGACACATTATTGATTGTTAAAGACAATTGAAAATGAGTGAGTTGGGTGCTAGTCTTCTAGTACTAGATGTTGGTAACAACAAACAACAATACTAATCTACTAATGAGGAATTGAAAGGGATCGAAGATGCCTAAGCCCCACGATTAGCCAACTCAAAAATATCAATCTACATCACAATTCTGAGGGTTCCACAATTGCAAAACCATATAGAAAATCAAGGCTCAAGCAAAATCGTGAGGCTAATAACACGACTAATTGGATTGCTAGTATCCGATGACTAGTCACTTCAAAATAAAAAGAATAGTATATCTTATTTGCATTAATAAATATTTTTAATAATTGGTGTAGAGATAGGCACAAACGTATGTATATAATGTAGATGAGATTTGATCTCAGTCTTGAGTACCAATCCTCAACATTTTAACCAATTAAGATAGTTAATCACCCATAACACAGCATGAAAATATAAAGTTTGTCAAAGCACATTAAATAGTAAAAATATATGTAAATAATTTAGCACATTAATATTTTGAAAACAAAGGCCATTTATTTTTTCATAATTATATAAAGTTCTTAATTTAGGATGGCATCAATAAATGTAATGACAAACAAATGGCCCATTAATATTAGGACAACTCCAAAAAATACAATTGTGTCTATTTACATTATTAACTTGCATGAGAGGGATTGAGTACTTTGATTTTCATCGTTTAATTTCCACTCATATTATATTGGATTAGTTGTCACACCAATGTTTATTGCAAGTTTACAACCAAATAATTCTTTCAAATATATATATATATATATATATATATATATATATATATATATATATATATATATATATATATATATATATATATATATATATATATTTTAAGAAAAAAACATGTGGTAAGTGGTAATCAACTTTCAAGCAATCAAAATATAACTATATATTTAATAAGTGATTATTGTACGGGATTTACTTAGTAGTGGTGAAAAAAGTAATCAAGTATTCACCAAAAAGACAGCTTTGGATACCACCATGGAAAGAGGCTTGACTTTGAGTACTAATTTAATTTGTGTCAAAGCCTAAGAGAAATTAATCAAAGTAATGTAGTAGTCCAAGTCTGCGGGATAATCATCAAGCTAAGTAACTAGCTTTTTCTCTAAAAGATGAATAATATAATTTAATCCATGGTAATGATATACTGTAGAGTGCTATGTTCAATTTAATTGATAAACATTAACCTTATTTGTACACTAATCATTAATAAGGGTAAAAAAATATATTATCGCATGAAATTTTTTAGATTCGTATTAATTTTTCACTATGTACAAGTATACAACAACAACAAATTAGCCTTAGTCCCAAATAATTTGGGACATAGTTAGCTTCGTACTTAAATCAAAAGAAATTTACAATCTATACATGTAAATACTGTAAAATAGACATGGTTTGATCTAGTTTAGCATGATCTGATCTTTTTTGAAGTAAGCAAATACGCGCTTAAACAACTTGAATAAAAAAATCTATCTTTAATACATACTCCATAGCATTTAGCAATGCATGAATGAATAATCAAAAATATATGTTGATCAATGTAAATTAAACTACATTTAATTTAATTTAATGAATTGCGAAGTACATTTTTTTAGCTTTTATGCAATTGTAACTTGTAAGACTAGTAGCACTCGATCGTAAGGATTGTATATATCATTTTTAAAAATATAATTAAAGTAGGAGATTACGTGTTGGTAAAATACTGATTTCAATATATGTGTTGTAATTATGACAAACATGCTTTATTTTTCACTTAGGAGGAGTCAAATTTGGTTCTAAATTTTTGTGCATCATAAAAAATAAAGTTAGTGTTTACCTGTAAAAACATCTTAGTAATCACCATCAATATTTTCTTGAAGTAATTATTAACCACACAATATAAGAGGATATTATTGCTTAGTTTGGACTCCATAATTTCATTTCAATCTTTAATTATATTCTTTGACAAAATGGTGATGTCAAGTAGTAGCTTTAGTTTGAGTGTCACTCTCGACTTGCTTTTCTTTTTTTTTTTTTTTTTTTTTTTTGATCTCCATTAATATTAATTACGTGTGCAATATAATTATGCTATATGCATTCGTTTATCTTTATCAGTCAACCTTGAATTATCTTTACGGGACCTTCTTAGAACTTACCTTCACATATCGACAAATTTCATTATACAAATACATACGGAGCATACAAATAAAATCTTTGCACCAAA